CAATGTTTATATCAAAAAAAAAAACAACAGTAGTGACACAATGTGAATTTTTCTACATTATGTATTTAAATTGTGCTTCATATAAGGTTTCCAGAGCTTTTCAGTGTCTTGTATTTTCACTGAGGTATTGAACAGAAATACAGATTCTTACCCAAATGTCCGTGTGGTAGAGGATGGTATAAACTGTTGTCTTTGAATACTATTCCTTTCCACCACCACTGCAAGTTATGCCTCTATACAGAAGGAACCTCCGTGTAAAAAAGAAACCAGGGAAAGGTACATCTTTTAACTTAAAATATTTGTGTCTAATCACATCTCTGTCACAAAGACTGTACGTCTGTTGAGATGTGCCATGTTCAGAGGAGGGGATCTTCTGGAAAGCTGGAAAATGTGGGTTTCAGTTCATACTGATAAAAGCTGCTGGCCTCGCTACGGGCTGCACCGCGCTCTGCAGAGCAGCTGCGGGGCTGAAATGCCAGTTTAACAGGAAGAGAGGGAACCCCTATTTTAATAAGTTTATTCCACTTGCAGACAGATGTGGCTAACTCAAACAACGTTAATACTTTAAAGGCTTTCCCTCAAGGTGTTCAAGCAGTGTATTAACTGAGGCCCCTCTGGAAAATCCCTTACCAGTCCTTCGGACAGTCCCAGATGCTACTTCTCCAGCAGTGCTAGAAAAGACTCCATCCTCAACGCTTCTCAAACTGCAGGCAGGTAGCAGTTTAAAACTTCTTTGCTTCATGGTGAGGATGTTCTTCTCCTTAAAAAATTCTCAAAAAAAAGCTAGAAGGCAGCAATTATGGAATAATCGTTTTGATGTACAGCAAGGAAGTTTCAGAACAAAGTTTCAGATGGTTTCTGTACAGCTGAAGGAACCACATCTGTTATCTTCCCCCAGAATGACTGTTGATTCCAGGAATGCTCGAGTGTTCTCAGTTTCTGTTGTAAATGGTATATGCAGAGCTTGGGTTTTTTTTCAGCCTACAGGTGGTTGCAGAAAGTTTTCCTTTTGGTAAGTCATTTTCTTCAGCACCTCAGTACAGACTCTTCTATTTTTAGTCTTGTTTCCTAGGGATATAAGGCACATGCAGTTGCATTATTAGTTTCTCGGTCCTCTATAAGCAACTTTGGAACTGGTTAGCTAATTTCATTCAAACTTGAGTGAAGGATAAAAGGCCTCAAAGAGATTACGTTCCTTTCAATGTTGTGAATGTTGGCAGCTAGGTAGAGAGCGACCCTATTAACTCCCCAGTCGAGTTCAGCCTTGATCTCCTGGGTCTGGCAGAGAGCAGCTGGCCAGTTAGTGCCCGTGTGATGGCTGGTGGATGGATCTGTGCGTGCCTGGAAGATGCTGGGAGGAGCTCTTCTGCAGGACACAAGGAAGGCTTATGGTTAGTGCTAGGAAAAGACAAGGGGGAGGCAGGCTGAGCTACAGAGCGCTGCAGGGAAAGGATGGGAATGCAGCTTATGAAACAACTTGTTAAAAAAAAAAATTGATTTGTTGGAGTAAAGAAGGTAATACATTGTTCCCCCCCCCACAAGCACACTTCTCAGCAGCCATTTGATTCTCTGTTTGGATGCAGTCCCCTGGCTGTGCATACACATTTTCTTCTCTCTCTGTGAAAAGGAAAATAACCTGATATCCCTTCTTTCTCTTATGTGAATATTTCCATTTAAAAAAATGATACTGAAGTGTCCTGGCCTGAAAGCTGCCAGAGCTAAAGCACTCTTTATTTATCCAGTTGTAACTACATCAGTGACTTTATGAGGCCAAGCTTATTATACTCTTAGTTTGCAGAAACTTCCCTTAATTATTTATCAAAAGCCTTGCATGTGTAAACAGGAGCTTGATTTGTAGCCAGGTTCAAGCAACTTTACGAAATACAACAGTTCACTGCACAGGCTAATTTTTGTCTCCTCGATCTAATATTTCAGAGATGCTTGTCGCTAGCATTACTTCTTTTTTAGCCTCAATTGTTAGTAAAATGTGGTCTCTTGCCAGTTGTTTTTGCTAAAAGGAGATAATGAGTATAATTATGATCGCTTCTTTTATGCCATGTGGTTTGTTATTAAAAATTACACAAAATCATTTTTCCCTGAACACTGTAAAAATCAAATATTATTTTTCTCATTATTTTTCATTATTTATTTCATTATCTACTCCAAGACTAATTTAAAAGAGTTTTACTTAGAAAAATCTGCAGACCTTCTTTCTGAGCCACACTACCAAGCCTTTCCCTATTCTCTCTGGTTCTTTCACTTCTTTCACTGTTTTTTGAGCTTCTTTTCATCAAGTACCAGGATTCCTCTGAGACTATCTTCAGCAGTGAATGTTCTTCTGGCAGGGCTGTTTTAATCTCAGAGAACTAACTGATTCAGTTACCTGTAGCCTCTTAAGAGACAGAAAAGGAAGAGAAAAGGAAGAATAGGAGCTGCTTTAGTAAACTTAGACACTGAAAACAAGACTCAAACCACAGACATGCCTAAAACCAAAGACCAAGGGCCTGCACCTTTTCAGATGGCAGGGAACTTCTTTACAATTCATCCTCCACATTGCCCTGACAACGGCCCAGGAGGCAGAGTAACAGTATCCCTCATTTTCCTTCACCACTAAATACAAAGTTCAGCTGCTCCATCATTTAGCCAGAGTAGAAAAGAGGTAACATGCTCATTAGCCTCAGTGAAGCTTGATACTCCTCAGTGATCAGAAAGCA